TTATGTACTTTTAATATTTGAATTTCATACATGACCGTTATAAAAACCATATCGACTAGAGCACAACAAATAAAATGACTAATGCAGTTTTTTAACTGGAACCTCTTAAGAATGTAACGTTTTGGGACTAACAGTAATAATGTATTTATTTTTGAATACTTAAAATTATTTCTTTAGATTTGTACTTCATATTTAGTGGGGAAGTGAAACTTCTATATGTGTGTAAACAATAGTATTTTGTAGTATAAATATACTACTTGTTATGGTGTGTACATCTTGTACAAGCTGGCAAAGAATGATTACAATTTTATTTGTTATAAGACATTAGTATTAGGCCTATTACATTTTAAGCACTGTATTCTTAATCTAGTCCCTTAGGGATTTTCAAAAATTAGAAGAATGTATAATAATTGAGTGAAAAGAGTCATCGGCATTGGACATAACAAATACAGTGTGGTTGGTCCTAAGGGACTAGATTAAGATTGTAGCGTTTAAAAACATAATAGGCCTAGTAGTAATATCTTATGACAAATATGATTATATACTATTTGGTATGCCCTAAAATAAAGTGATTTATATTTCTTATCCCATTTATGTGATAGTACATGTTAAGGTTTCAAAAGCCACATTAATATGATGTTAACTTATTCATTACCAGTGCTTCATGCAACTTATATATTGGCTTCTAACTGTGATATATATCAAGGTCAAAAATGCTCTGCAAACTATCTGAAACATATTCACGTATACAGGTGGCTCTAAACCCCTATTCTGGTGTATTTAAACTGTGTTTAGATCATTAATTCATGATCTCGGCCACATATCAAATTAGGCTTTTTACAGTACTTAGTCATGATCCACAAGTTGGGTGAGTTAGTTGCAGATCTTTTTTAGATACTATTGCATAAATTCAGAATGAACAAGAGTACTTCCTCAGCAGTGTGGGGCTGTGAGCTCACAACATATTCACCAACTGTGTTATACTTCAAGCAGCTGGAAAGTGAATAAAATAGTTATACTATTCCACATAAAGACATATCAGTCAAGTAGTAAGATGCAGTAACTGTGGGTTTCTGTGTAATTGGACTGTTGAAATAGGTGTTGGGAAACTGTCATTCTTGTACATTAGATGTGTTATAGAAAGCAAGCAGGAAGGATTGGTGTGATTTGGATGTGACAGTCTTACAATGGAGCCTTTTGCAATAGAATTAAGCTCAAGAGCTATTGTCAAGATACATGGTCATCAAATAGAGCATGAATGGATGTGGCGAGGCTCCAAACTTGTTTTAATATTACATACTCAACCTTTATATTTTTGTGTTGTTTCCAGAGCTTCCTAAAATTTTAGTTAACTGTGATTCATTTCATGTTTCCTCTGATGGTAAGCTTCATCTTGCAGGATGTTTAGCTAGAACACTTGTGGATATGATGTAAGAAGATATTATTATCTTAGCCTCTTGAGGAGATGAGTTTGTTTCTTTTGCTCTTTTGTATTTTCTGACCCTATAGCATCATCTACTATGGTCAGTATCTATCTCAGTTGTCAGTATAATTTGCACTGCCTTCTTCAGTTCATCCACCATTTTGGTACTACATCAGTGGTTTAGACAGAGGTTACCCAATTGTTTTAGAAGCTTACATTTATTTTTTGTGAAACATGAATTATACAATACATCTATCAAATTGCTTAAGATACAACAGTAATTACAATTTTATTATTATTGTTAGATCATAATTACCAGTTTAGTTATGCCATACATTTTTGATACTATGTGTCTCAGTGCCAGTGTTCTAGATTTGTGGTCACTAGTCCAGATGCTCTTGAGGAAATATGGGATTTCCTTATAAGACTAGTTTCATGAGTTCACTGATTTCCTTTTCTGTAAATTTCCAAGTGGATAATTATTGAAATACAGATCTGATGGTAGCTCGAAGGTTGATTTCTCAACCTGTGTTTTCCCTCCTGAGCCAGCTAAGTTAGGTTTGACACCTTGATTCTTTTAGCATGATATTTCCACCCTTCATCTACACAGATGTTTTATGGGGGACTCTGCTTATCAGGTAAAGCTACAGCTTAGTTACTGTTCATTAATCTGAACTGATTATTAATTAGTTACTAATTATTATTATTATTAGATGCCAATTACCAGTTCATTTATGTTTCTGTTGCTAATCTGCTGCCATCTTTGAGGAGATCTTGAGGAGAATGGTATGTGGTGACGGGAGTCAGTATTCAGTCCCGGGTCTTCCTATTAGAAAAGCTCTTCAGCTATCCACATCACCAGGCTGTCATCCCATTGAGACTTGGAGAATCTAATTGTTTGGATGAATTTTCTGACTTGAATGCTTGGTTGGCTGAGTGTATTATCAGTCAGATGTGAAAGAATTCTTTTATCTTGTGTGTGATTCATATTTCATTAATAATGGTATACTTCTATTTCTTTATCATCTAAATCAATTTTGAAGTTCTATAAACAGCAACGTCTTGACCACATGATCTGGCATGACTGGTAACAAGTTAAAGCAATCCAGATGTTTAGTTAAGCATGAAATCACAAAGAAAATAAATTAGTTATTTTAGCCATGTTCCTCCTACTTCAGGAAGGATTAATGGTGAATATAAATTACTTATTTGCATGTTTTTAAAGTAAGTAATAAATAAATGTCACCATAACAACCTGACAACATAATGTTTTTGATCATAACCAGTTCTCTATGAAAATGGTTGTATCTTATCTTAGATCCTTGTTTACTTGTTAAAGATACTTGTAATAAATTTCAGATAATGTTTTCCAAACTATCAATTTGCCTTGATAAGCAATTTCTTGTTTTTGGTTTATAGCTTTTGAAATTGTATTTGGGAGATGTGAGTTTTAATTAGTGTTAAAGAAATTTGGGTGTTACTTTTAATCAGTGCTCCAGATAAGGAGCATACCAGTGTAATTCCCCACCAAAAATTAACCATTTACAGCTTTAAAAAATATTGAGATGTTTTACTGCTGTGGAAAAACGAATATGGCTCCTGCCACTTTAACGGTTGTACAGTAATTAATGGGTGCATTCTTGTAGCTTTCTGCAGTTCTGCACAATATCTCCTTAGTTCACACAGTAGAGCTACAAAAATAAGCAATCTCTGACTACCAGAAGTTTTATTGGTGCAGTCATGAATGATTCAATTTTGTGTAAAAAAAAAAAAGTTGTAATGTCATTATTTGTGTTTATTATGACTACATCTGGTAATTCAATTTGCTGAATTAATCCTGTGCCAAATTTCACCTTTTGAAATAATAATATAATTCATAATTAATTAAATTACTTTTTATCACAAAATGTTGCTGCTGTGCTTTGTAAAAAATTTAATTACTTCCACTGACAGAATTCTGGGAGTGATTACTCCTTACAGAAAAAAACTTATTTTGAGCACTGCTTTTATCTACTTTGTTGTATGATACAAAAGTTCTAACATGAGTTTAAAAGGACTTCACTCCTTGACTCTCTAGTAGTAGGCTTCCCTGAACTCTAATCGAGGTGAGACTTGTAGCAGCCTCCCGACCCTTAACTTTTTGGAACTGTGTTTACAAAGTTGTTTAGAGAGAACCCATATATCATCAGATTTACTTAAAATAATTTGGGTTTTAGTACCAGCCTAAGTTGTTATGATCATGGGTAGATAGTATGAAAACTATGATATCATGAACGAATGATTTCTCCACAGTGGATATATATCAAAACCAATGTATAAATATAGATGTTGGAGAGGTTATGTATCCTATACAATTTAGATAGTGACCAGTTAAAAGTCAGTCTGCAAGTATAAGATATATATATATATATATATATATATATATATATCTGGTGTCAGAAGAGAGTAACAGCTATTTAAAACAGATTTGACTTTTAAAATTTAGCACTTGTGTTTGTTTGTGTGTGTGTAATATTTCTGAATTTGACAAATATTTTTTGTGTAGTTACAGCTGATAACAAAATGAAACAAACTTTGTTTTAGTGCTGGTTGTGCATTGAAACACTGAAAGCTTTTGAGATGAAAATTTAAATGTATATTTTGTGGAGTGCTAATGAATGGGACTTCACATTAATAAAACTTAAATTACTCAAACAGTTTGAAAATAACCTTATTGAACATCTATTTCTATTTACTCTTCAGTTCTTTTTGAATTAATAGTTTCCTGCTCCTGTTATTTTGCCTTTACAACTTCCTATAATTTGAGATGCCTCCTCATGTATTTTTATCCAAAAAACTAACATATTTAAAATAAATTTTTCTTAAGCTTTGGGGCACTGTTCATTTTCTTAAGCTAAAGTTTGAGATTTTATATTTTTGATGATGCGGCTTCTTTTTTTTATCCTCCTCTACAATTAGTTTAAATATCAATATGTATATTCCATTATGCTTCATACTGTTGTCTTAAGTCATCTAAAAGAGCTGTTATGTATTTAGTTATTGTCAGTCATTGTAAGAAGCTGTGATGTATTTATTTACTACAAGTAACTGTGATATAATTGATAGTATGTCTATTCAGTTTCTTTGAGACCTGTGATATATTTAGTTATCATAAGTCAACTCCAGATGCTATGATGTATTTCACACTAGTTGTATTCAATTTCTTGAAGAATATTTGTGGTAATCATATTTTGTATTAAGTTCCTGTATTAAATTTCAATTTACTTCACATCAGTTTAAAGCATTTTCCACAATTTAACATTGTTACAGCTTGATTCATGTGTACTTTTCACGTTATGTAAGAGTTAATATTCTATAAATAGTTGCAAGTTTGCTGATAATTGTTTATCTATGAATTATCCAAGCTGAAATAAGCATTACATATACATATAAATGTATGAAAAAATATTTCATAAAGTTAGTTACTGATGTAAGTTAATGCCAACTTGCAGCTGCTGTATGTTTATTGAACAATCTTGTTTTATGTATGTATATGTGTGTGTGTGTATATATATTTTTTCATTCTTTTTTTTTTCAGAGCTTAACTCAGCAACTTGTATCCACCCATAGTCTAGTAAACCTTTGGCAGGAACTGTTGTAACATATACTACAACAACAGAGGAACCAGAGATGTTTTAGTTATTAGAAACTGGGGAAAAGCTCATGACGTAAAAGTATCATGATATTGAAGATAATGAGAAAACAAACAAGTTTATGATTGGTTATGTCTACTGGCCTGCCAACTAGTCTCAAGAAATTATATATTGGCTAGTACTCCAACCAAAAGTGCTCATTATCATCACATAGCTCCTCCTCGGAGATCAACTTATTTGTGTATAAGAATTTAGAGTTCTATATCTCCTTTGGTGTTTTCATCCATTGAAACATTTTGTCTTATAGTCAGTAGGGTTATTTAATGAAAATGAAGGAATACTCTGTGACGTAGAACATCATTATTCAATTTTTATACATCTGTGACCTACAGCAGCGATACTTTATGGCAGAGTTGATCCATCTAAAGTTTTGGTAGATGGGTAATTCACTTGGGCACAGAATATCATTGTATTTCTTTGATTCGTCTACAGTATATAAAATTGATAATCTGTGACCCAGGACCAACTGTTCATCATTGTGTTTTTCTACAGTGCATGTGAGTGACACTTTAAGTCGCAGAACACTATAATTCAAATTTGAAATAGAATCCCCCCCTATTTTTAAGTTAAACTATTCTGCTGATATGAATGTTGGAAAGATTGTGGTAAATCATTGATCATGGTCTGAATAAAAATATATTATAAGTTTTATTTATTCTGAAATTTGATAGATGTCAGTTTAATTTAAGTTCATTTAATTATGGCTAGTTATTAAATAAAATGAAGAAATAAGTGATTGTATTCCTTGCAAAAGGAATTTTATGTGCAGTAAGAGTTTAAAAATAATGTGTCATATCTTAGTTTAACTTTTCTAAATGTGAAATATTTTTGTTAAGAAAAAAATACAAGTTGCTGCTATTTGTTTTAAAGTGTGGTCAGTTTGAAAATATTTTTTTTAAAGTTGGTGATCTAAAAATGGAATGACAGAGAACAATCAATTATTATTAAATTACATTTGTTGTATTTGCAAAGGTTGTAAAATGTAAATGATTAATTTCTTAAATTTTCTTACTTTCTATGATATGAGAGTCTGAAAATGTTATAACAGATTTAAATATAATTGTTTTTTTTGTTGTGTTCTAAGAAATTAGAAACTTTGAATAAAATATTCAGATAAATTATGAGAAAAACATTACGGAGGTAAATTTGACATATGTCTAATTACTGTGTGAGAAACAAATATTTAAAATGGTTTAAAAAGACATGTTATCTGTACTTAAATGTTTAAACAATACCAAATGTAAGGTTATGCAAAAAAAAAAAAGAATTTTACATTCTAATAAGCATTTTTTATGGCAATCATGATACAGATTTGATATATTTCTTCTGTAGTTGTGGTATATTGTTTCATATGGGTATTGTACAGTTGTCTCTCAGTCTTTCCCAGGATTTACTTATTGTTTTAACAATATACTGGTAATAATTTATCATTCTAACAGTCATCTCGGGTGCTTACTTTTAGCTTCCATAAACAGGTTTTCTACAGTTTTCATTATAGTATCTTGGAAATGTGTCAAAATTATCTTTCATTCTCCAAAATTAATTATAAATTAATCACTTGCATTAAGTATAATCTTTAAAAAGAGTTAATTAACTTATAAAAAAAATATTGAAGAAGTAAAAAGAGAAAAAAATCATAAATTAATAGGAACTCCTCTTGTACTCTTTACTGAAAATATTTTGATATGTTTGTTTTGGGTTGTACAATTAGATGTTAGTTTACTTGAGCAACTTCAGAACACCATTTTGTTTGCTACTGCTGAAATAGAATATTTCGGTTTATGTGTTTCTTTTTTCTTAAGTTTTTTTTGTGTATTAGGAAAACCAAGATTGTTTTTTCGTGTTTTTTCTAGTAATAGTTTAAATTTATGCTAAATGCAGTTTTTTAAAACCCTTATGGATAAATTTGTAAGGTGAGTTTATGAAGGACTGATTTTTCTTTATATTCATTCTACCCAGAAAATTTTCTTGTGTTGTTAGTTATTTTGTCACATTAGAATTGCAATAAAAAAAATGCCAAATACAAATAAGACATTTTATACAAATAAGACTTCCTAATTTTACTACGTATGTCATGTGGAAGCTAATATTCAGAATTATTGAGAGTTTGAATAATAGAATATGCAAAAGGTTTCAATCGTTTTCAGCACTAAAATATCAAAAATGGTGTATTGTAGTTTCAGTATTGGAAATGGTGTAAAAATTATTTTCAGTGTGTTATGGTGTACAGTTCACCACATTTAAAGCCAATTTGAGCTTTCCAGATGGTCTTTCTCCAAGTGTTTTGTGATAAAAGAGAGACAATTGTAAATATTTTACATCAATTACTAGTTAGGAAGGTGCCTCAACTCCTGTCATGAATAGCAGTAATGGCTATGTTGTTATGGGAGCGGAAAGTCAGATAATATATTGCAGAGATGTTGAGAATGACTCAAATAATTTAAATAGCTGTAAGTTTTCTTTGACAATAAAAATTTTACAAGAAATGATCATAGTTCAAGTTTTTATTAATAATGAAGATTCATTTAAACATCATGAAGCAAATGATAATAAAGATAGTTGCCCAAGTAGCATTCTACTTGTTAAGATTAATTGTCCATGTAAAGCACCTAAAACATTGCCTGTAACACTTTAACCAAATGTGCACAGAGTCAGTCCATTGGACCACCTGTTGTAGAAGGGATATTGACTATAATTCTGAATTTATTGTGTGTATCTACACAAAATGTCACAAGCTTTTAGCAAAAATGTAAAAGTCTGTTGTACACAAATAATCAGAGGAGTTACGAAAGTATTTGTATTCAAAATATCTGTGAATTGATGACTTCAGCCTGACTGAGACTCTGACAAGCAGGAACGCAAAATGATGTTCACGTGAAATTAAAAATATTTTTGTCCATTGTGTGGTTTGCATATATATATATAAACTTTAGAACCTCTAAAATGTATATCTACAGTTTTTTCAATATCTTTCTATATTGTATCTAATCAAAAACACCTTAGGTGTTAAAAAAGGTGTGGCCAAAAAACGATTGAAATCAAAATTGGCAGTCAAACTGGTAGCTACTCTTATAACATTGATAAGAATTTTACAGCAAATATTCATTCGTTAGTTAGCCAGGCCACGTTTTGTGTTCAACTTGGAGCATGATGGAGGATAAAACAAAATATGTGGCCTAGCTAACTAGGTGAAGCTGTAGTAAAAATGTTAGACCAATAGCTCATGTGACTTTTTGCATAGACATGTGCAAAATCTTTTGGCAAATTTGAATGGTTTTAGTTCAATAACTTTGCACATGTGGCTTATATTTACATTAAATGAGACTCCTAATTGTAGGTTGAAAAGATCTATCAGTGTTCCAGTCTGAGAAACAAAGTGGAAAATCACTAAACTATCACTTGTTAATAACATGCAGTATGTCCTGCAGCAGGTTGTTTTGGCCACACAAACACTACCGTGTGTTTTGATATGGTATTTACTCTCCACTGCCATGAACTGTCACTAAATCAGCAGTATAAGGTTAAATAAATGGTTGATAACTCTGACATCAAATGCCATGTTGAATGATACTGTCAGAAAGTCGTGCCATGTGCACTTTGATCCTTATGAGGTGAACTCCATTTACAACTTGCAATCACCATGTACTTCAGTTTAATTCATTCAGTTAATAAACTTAGTTTGAACTGTATTGATTCTTTTTGACAAGGACTTGTACTTTTTCAACCTTCAATATGTTTCATTATGTGCAGTAATTTTTCTTTCTTCCATAGTAAGTAATCAGTTTTTTGGATCTTTCAGAATGCAGTATTTGACCAGTTTGTAAGTATATTGATTGTTCTTTAGGGAAAACATTCATGCTCGGCAAGATAGTAGTTTTTTTTATTCACTCCATGATTTAGAGGAGTAGGTAGGCCAAACTTCTTGAATGTGGATGCTGTCCAGGAATTAGCTTTCTGCATCAACCTTTTTTTCCACAAGTAAACTCATTTATCCATTTTTTCTCTTCAAAACCTGTGACAGAAGAAATGTTTTGGTGGTCATTTAAAAGAAATTACATGTTTTTAAATCATATTTACTAGGCCAAGCTTGGCCTAATGGATTCATGGTTTGTAGCCCATTGCAACAAAAAAACACTGTTATAAGATTGACAGTCAAATCTCACTATCCTGTCAGTTGAGACTTTGGGATGGCTATGTGTAGATAGCCATTTGTATAGCTTTGATAAAAAATTCTACAACCCAATCTTTCCAAGACAGAGAAGTGATGCTATTCACCTTGTTACCACCATCTTCTTGATGGTTGATTTTCTTCATCACTGTTTCATTTTCAATTGGGTATTTGTGTGGAATACAAGAAGTGATTCAGGTTGACTACCAGACTGACTTTTATAATTGGTTGTTTTATACAGACAGCGTATCAAACCACTAATTAAGGGTATCTTCACCTGTCTATACATCTTAGAAAATACTTATGCCTTCAGTTTAAAATCATTCTTAATTTTAACCATAATAGTTGTGTAACATTCAGTGCTTCTTATCAGCATCGTTTATTCGTGCTTTGCTCTTTTAAAAGAAATTTCACTGTAACAAGAAAATTGTGGCATGCAGTTGACAAATAACTTTTAATCCTGCTAAGTGTGGAATTTTTTTATTATTATTATTACTGTTATGAGGATATACACACAACACTTAAAATCTTTGTTTTAGCCTTGAACGGTGTGACATTAACCATATGTGAACTTGAAATTTTGTATCACAATGAAGAGAGGGTATCCAATTGCCCAGAAATTTATGAATTTGACATTTTAGACAAGTGTTAAAACATAAGAACATGCCTTGGTAAGACAGTAAAGAACTTAACACATAGAAATTGAATTATATTAATATATAACCTAAAAGTTCCAATGATTACATACAGCATGACTTCCTTAAATTTTAAAATTGTGGCTTGGATAAATTTTGGCAAAAAAACTATTGCATAAAGTTTCATTAAATGTTAATGAATAAGTTAAGGTGAAGTTAAGCAAACACATATCACTCCATTAGGATATTAGCAGTCAGTAGCAATGAAAAACAAAGTCAAGTAATGTTTAGTAGAAACATTTATTTCAACCTACATGAAGAGATAGAAATATGTGAAACTACAATTTCAACAACATTGAAATATTTAGTAATCATTAACTCTTATCCTTCTTATAAAGATTTATAAATACAGTCCTTCTGGAGTGCCTTCATTCTTACGATATAAGACATTCTCTTTAGATTTTCTAAAATCCTCATTTGTTACCTTCATCCTTCTCTCTCGAAGTGCCATTAAACCAGCTTCAGTGCAAATAGCCTGGAATGAAATGAATTAACACAAGAAATTAATCCAATCATAATATTGTATGTTTCTTCTTCAAATGTAACAAGAATAAAACACACACAAAACATGTGAAAGTCAAACAAAAAGCAACTGTCTCACCTTGATGTCTGCCCCTGACAGATCATCTTTTGCCATGACCAGGTCATCAATGTTAACATCCTCAGCTAAAGTCATACGTGCTGAATGAATCATAAAAATTCTCCTTTTAGTTTTTTCATCAGGAAGTGGGAATTCAATTTTTCTGTCAATTCGACCAGGTCTTATGAGAGCTGGATCTAATGTTTCAATTCGATTTGTTGCCATGATAACCTAAAAACAGAATAATAGTTAATATTTAAAAATTCAAACTGGTGTATTTACATGTTTCACACTCACCAAAAAGAAACCTATCATTCTATAGGTATTTGAAGAACTTGT